TTGATTTATTTGATTATTACTTTTCATGTCTTGGTTGCAACCAGAAAACAGGCTACAACCCCAAAACCCAATAGCAGCCACCAAAAAACAAGGAAATAAAACAGAGTTGCCACCATCATAGGACAATTGGAGATTAGGCTTCAGCCCCAAAACCCAGAATAGAACACACTCAAAGCTCCACCTTTCCACCTAAACACCTTCTGATCTGGCTAAGGTGGAGAAGGCGAAGGGAAGAAACAAAGACGTGGTGACTAGGGAGTACACCAATCAACCTCCACAAGCACTTGCACGGCTAGTACTAACCTATCTATCTATATATGCATTATAGTTTGTTGATTCTATCAGTTAATAAATGAAGTTTGGTTCTTGGTAGTATTGAATCAATTGTTATGTAGTTGTGATGGGTTATCTTAATTTTTTTAGTTAATTCTATTATTGATATTGCTTTTTTTAATGTTTAAAGAATCAGAATCATCTATATGTACGAGTTTTTAGATTGAACATAATATGTGAATCCATTGTGGTTGCTTATCTTTCTGAATCTATGTAGTCATGCCTTGAAGACCATAACTCTAAATTTGTTGTAAAATAATTAATTCTTGGAAGATCAATCTTAGTTCAATAAATTAGAGTGGAATTAATGTCCAAAATTGGCTTATTCTATTATAGTATTATGCATTTTTTCTATGCAATATTGTGTACAGAGTTGTTTTGAAGTTTGTATTCTTCTCATGCAATCGGTATTAGGGTTTTCAAAGTGGCCCATTGATGTAAAGGGCATATGAGTCACATTATTGCAGAATAAAAGCCTTCAATTTTCTATTTCTATGCATGAAAAAAGAAGTAAATGGGATAATTATATGATTATGTGCATCCATAATGATCCTCAACTTACCAACATTAGTTTCCTAGTTGGGATAATTTAAAATGAATATATTCCCTAGGGTGAAATTAAGCTGAGTTGAGCTAAGCCTACTAAGTAGTGTAGTGATGGGATGGGCTTGGTTTAAGTTTGCAGTGAGCCAAGTTCAGGAGCATAATATTTGAAAGTTACAATAAAATAATAGTTACATGCGAAGATTCCAACATCCAGTGCAGAAACAACAACCTAACTTTCCAATCACACTCAAGCACTAAAATGCAATGCTATGTCTCTCAGTTGTTTGCCCTAGTTTTTAAAAAATAAATATCCAAAAGAGATTTGTACCTGTTTGGAAAAACATAAAACAACTTTTAAGATTAACATGTTTTGTATTCTGATTATGATATTCACACACACACACACACATATTTTATCATCTATGATATTCATATTTTAACCAATATAATTAGTGAAGTGAATGGATTGTTGTTGATGCTACATAGTAAAATCTCATGTTTGAGGAATCATTGTGTATGCTAGATACTTGATAAAATGCCACAACGGAGTAATAGTGCCTACCTTCTTTTTTAATGGTTTGTTATGTTTGTTCTTAGTTATTTATTTATTTATTTTTTTGGGTTGAGAAAATTGTTGTTAATGAATTTAATACACAGTTTGTAATGTTTTGTTGGCTTACATAAAATTGTTGCATCTTTTTGTTGTCATTGATGTATTTATCATATGTTATCCTTTTCTAAATTTATGCATACTCATGTAAATTTTATTGTATAAATTAGGCGACAGATGGATCTAGTGGCATTCCGAACCAGGCTTACCCACAAACACATCAAAGATCCTCTTTTGGGAGTCATGAAATACAACCTTTTAATTGGGGGTAAGTCATCATTACAATACACATACATTGACATAAATTTAGAACCAATGTTAATGACTTCTCTACCAATAAATTGTTAGCTGGTTTGGACAAAATTGGGATTTGATAGGTTGACTTCTCTACTTTGCTTCCTTTATTGTCATTTGTAAAAATACCAAACAAACCAATGAGATAGAGAATAGGGCAATCAAACAACTTTGAATATTAGCAACGTATCAAACTGTATGCTATTGGTTGCTTCAATTAGTGGCTGCTACTAATGTTTGGCTTTATTGGCTGATTCAGTCCAAATGCTAAACTGTTGGCATCTTATCTTTTATCCGAATATGTTTAACATCTAAGCTTTGGAGTCTTCCCTCAGGATATATAAGGAAGGAGAGTCTTATGTTCAAGAGCATTGAAAAATAGAGAGTATTACAAATAGCATGAGTAATAACTTCTTTTTGTCTAAAGAAAAAAAGGAACATCTGATTGTAAAAGTCTTTCAGCTGTAATGTGGGCACATATGTAGGTATAATTTCCTAGATATTAATAACTGTTAGTTTCTTGCTTACATGTTTTTAGCTGTTTAGATGTCTTCACCCATATCTAATGTTAGTAATCAACTTGAAGTGCTTAAAGAACAAGAAGAAGAACTAATTGCACAAATTAAGAACAATTTGTTTCTTAAATCTTTAGCCACCTGTAACACACTTTTGCATTACTATATTTTTTTCTCCAATTGCTGTTGTTTTCTCTCTTAATGGTTGATCTCTCTTAATATGCAGATATGATCTTGAACTTCATTGTCTTTTTCCTTTTTTTTTTTCTTTTTTTTGATGATATGTAAACCACATACTTACCAAAAAAATAAAAATAAATAAGACTTGTCGAGAATTATTTGTAGTTTAAATTTTCTTTATAGATTTTGAAATTGAAAATGATACTTATGCTCATTCAATGATTTTTATTACAGGAAATAAGACAATATGAAAAGCATCAAATAATGGACGTCATTTCTCGATTCAAACATTTTTCATGGAGGTCTTTATAAAATGGCATCATGAGTAATACTTTTGAGTACTATTGTCATGTGACAAGTTTATATGTGTTCCTTTTGGATTATGGTGTGGCTATTAGTTTGCTAGAAATATTTGATCTATTTTGATATGGCAAGCTTCTGTAATGAACCTTTTAATTAAGGTGTTTTGGATGTTTTGGAATTGTGAAAATATAAACTCTTTTACCTTTTACAATTATTGAGTATTGAGTAATTAAAATAAAATAGTGCTTTTATAGATATATAATGTGAGCAGGGATAAGTGGGAGACAACCATTAATGGTTAGGAAAGCATTAAAAATTTCAAGCTATATATTATTGGTAATTGAATAGTAAACATAGCCTATAACCGTAGTTAATAACTGTCACTGCAAATAAAATTCAAAAAGAATTCTATGGCTATTGCGATAGTGTGAAACTGATGGAATAGAGTCAAAATATAGCAACAGTTCACAAAACGTTGCAAAAGCGAATGATATAGCAGCAGTAAACCCGTCGCTATAAAGTAATCATGTAATGAGCAAATTTAAGATATAATGACATTTGTAACTGTTGCTACATCAACTGTCGCAATAAAAATAATTATACCAGCATTTGAAGAAAATGTCACTATTAGGATATGTTGACGGGGCTATTGTGGCGGTTTGGCCGCTACTATTTCAACCACGAGTAAAGGTCTTCTTGTTTTTAGCAACGCTTTTTTCAGCTTTTAGCAACAGTTTTGGCCGCTGCTAAAAGTGATTTTTTTTATTGTGAAGATACACTATGCTACTACATATATCCATGGATAAATTCAAGTGTGTTCCCATATTTAAAAATCTAACGAATAAATTCATAAATTTACCTCAGCAATGGTTCCTTTGAGTCCACTGACTAATATATGAGCCACTATAACACATAAAGTTTTAGAGACTAAATGTTTTGGTCTCTAAAAGTGAATATTTTGTTGCAAAATAAATTTAGGGACCAATTTCCATCGTTATGAGGATAGTCTCTTAAAGGTCGTCTCAAAAAGTAAAAAACAAGGCTTTTAGCGACAAAATTTTGAAAATGTCACTAATAAATACACTTTTAGGGTCAAAATAATTTGGTCTCAAAATGGTTTATTTTTTTAGACAAAAAATTTGGTCCCAAAAAGATAATAATTCATCACTAATGTCTAATTTTGTTGCTAAAAATATAATAACAACCGCAACAAAATTATTTGATCCCTAAAAATAATTTTATCTCTAAATTTTGGTCTCTAAAACCTTAATCTTTTGTAGTGAGCCTTGCTCAGCCTAAAATCAAATTTCACAATCAGAGAACATAACTTTACTTTTGAAATTCAAAACTCATGCATCATAATCATGAAAATTAACCTAAATGAAGCATTTATTCAAGGACAATTGAATTTAAATGAAGTCCACAAGCGAAACCCAAAAATGTGCAAAGTTGCAAACAGTATATCTATACATATAGGAGTAATTGCAACAAAAAAAATAAATTAAAAATAACAAAAAAGCCCAAAATTTTACCGTTATAATAAAATAAACCCCGATTTTTAAATTTTATCAATTTAAATTCTAATCTTTTCATTCGTTTTTAATCTAAACTATTTGCGTATTTCTATTAAGTAAAATTGGAAAATTATATTTCATTCATTAAACTCAATGTAGGCTACCACTACTAAAAACTTGACTTTTTGCGACGGTCTCAAACGTCGCAAAAGGTCCATATATCGTCGCAAAAGGCTTTTTGCGACGGAGCAGCGACGGAAAATGGGGGGTGGCGGAAAGGGGCGTGACAAAAAGTATTTGCGACGGTTACAAACCGTCGCGTTCTTGTTGTGACGGCTAATCAATAGTTTTTGCGACGGTTTCGCCTGACACAAGAAAAGGGGAAAAAATGGCATTTTTTGTGACGATGTTGATTGCCGTCGCAAAAAACCTTTTTTAGCAATGGTATTTGCCGTCGCAAAAGGTATTATTAGCGACGGTCTAAAACGTCACCAAAAAAGTAGTATTAAGTTAATACCGTATTGGCAACAGTTGAAACCGTCGCAAAAGATTTATTTGTGACAGTTGAAACCGTCGCAAAAGATTTGAACTATTATGTATATGCGACAGGTTAACCCGTCGCTAATAAAATATAAGGAAATGAGAATTACATTAGCGACGGTTTATTATTGTCGCAACAAAATTATTTTTTATAAAATTGTAACAATTGTCAATCAAATATTATTTACAAAAATATATAAAATAACTTCTAACAATACTAATAATTTTTGAAATTGAAGAACTCAAATTTTTAGTATCGACAATAGAAATAAAAAAATAAAAACAGATATAATGTAGCTTGTTTTGATATCAATAGTAAGCTCCCATATCGATATGCGAAGATATCACGTACTCAAAAGGTTTGCATCTGCAAAAAAAACAAAAAAGAAAAAAAAATCATCATTTACAACATAATTATTTTCAAGCTTACAGAAAATGTAAAACATTTGATATTTTTTTCAAAAAATAAATAAATAAATAAGATTGTAAACTCTAATATCGATATGCGAAGATATCATCACGTACTCAAAAGGGTTGCACCTGCAAAAAAAAACCAAAAAAAAAAAAATCATTTACAATATAATTATTTTCAAGCTTACAGAAAATGTAAAACATTTGATATTTTTTTCAAAAAATAAATAAATAAATAAGATTGTAAACTCTAATATCAATATGCGAAGATATCATCACATACTCAAAAGGGTTGCACCTGCAAAAAAAAAATCATTTATAATATAATTAATTTCAAATTTACAGAAAATGTAAAACATTTGATATTTATTTCGATAAATAAATAAATAAGATTGTAACATATACATGAATCGAGCGCCACACAATGTATCTTCCCACAGCTTCTCCATCTGTTCTTAGACATCGGGAAGTTGTTTCCAAAACAGCGTTCGGCTTGTTCGCTTTTAAAACAAAAACTTTGCAAAATCCAGGTCCAATTGGAACTCCATGAATTTCACACAACTGATCAACACTAATAAGAAGTCCCTCCACCAATTGGACTCTTGGTATTACAGAACTCTCCAAAGAAACTTTAATTACATCCAACAATGATGATAATACTATTAAAAATACGCAATGATCGTACACAATGAGCTATAATTTATAACAATAATCGAATAAACACAAAAAGAGTTTGTAAAGAAGAAGTATTGATCGAGTTTCGTCTTCTCCTACAAGTCATGTGTGCCAAGTATGTTGCGCGTGTCAAGTTCCGTTGACATCCGAACCTGTTTGAGCATTTAGTATGTCAACCGGTTTAGAGTTACTAAGTAACAAATTTTCATTAACGGAAATTAGGCTTTAGATTCAAAACCGGGAATCGATTTCGAGTTCCGTCTTATCCTACAAGTCATGTGTGGCTAGTATGTTGTGCGTGTGAAGTTTCGTTGACATCCGAACCCGTTTGAGCATTTTCATGTGTCAACCGGTTTAGAGTTAATAAGTAACAAGTTTTCATAAACGGAAATTAGGCTCTAGATTGAAAACCGGGAATTGATTTCGAGTCCTGTCTTATCCTACAACTCATGTGTGCCTAGTATGTTGTGCGTGTCAAGTTTCGTTCACATCCGAACCCGTTTGAGCATTTTAGTGTGTCAACCCGTTTGAGCATTTTAGTGCAGCAAATATGAGAGTTAGTAGCAAATATGAAAAGTAATCATGAAATGTGCTGTTCATCATATTACACTTTCTAGTGAGATGTAGACTAATGCAGCGAAGCAAAATACTACTGTTAATGAAGTTAATTTGAATAATAGTGATTAGTGACCATCCATCCAGGCAAATACATGAAAAGAAGTGGAAAATTTCATGATGCTGCAAAGACAAATTTTGACTGGAATTTAAATTTGTAAGCAAGATGCTAAAAGAGAGTTAGTGTGCCTCTTGCCAAATGCCCCCTCCCCCTCTATGTTCCTACCTAAAGAGAAACTCCTTTTTTTTACCTCATCGCCACCCTGTAAAGTCTTATTGCGCTGTGCTTAATTATGGTCTCAATGCACCATAGGGATTGAAACCATAATACCTCCACAACCCCACATGTATTTGGGAGGCACACATGTCGATCACTTAAACACATAAGAAACACATATTAAGTTTGGACAAAATAACTTGGGATTCAATGATAAAAAGAAAACCTATGTATATTAATATATTTATAACTATTATTCTTACCTACTTCAAAGTTTGGAAGTTAGATTTATGTTGTAATCTTTATTATCTTTAAAAGGAATGCTCATATATATGACAAGATAAATATATAAAACTATATTTACGCTCAAGTCCTCCACATGTTGTGTTCTGCATTGTGAAAATTTATCATGTCAACGTATCTATATCATATCATGTTGCATGTTCATGACCATGCTCTTTGGATATTATATACTTGTTCTGCAAGTAGGGGACAAGGGGGGCAATGGTAAATCTAGGGATGTCAAGTGTGAAGGTGCAGGCTTAGCTTTGAGGGCAGTGCTCTTCAAATGCATTAGATTATTCTAGGGGTAAAAGGAGAATTTTAAAATTTAAAATTGCTAATAGCATAAAATTCTTATAGTTGACCTAACGGTTGAAGAACAGAAGGGGTATTTATTATGTGATTTGAAACCTTAGGGGACAGATGCATTTTCTAGAACCTAAGGAAATCAAATGTATTTGTCATAAACCAAAGGGGAAGTAATTGTTAATTTTTGACATTGGAAGCTCAAGACTTCTAAAGCAGGTAGAGGGAAATGAGAATATTTTAGACTAACATGAGGAGGATTACTTCTTTCTTTCCTTTTTTTTAAAGAGACTAATATGTGGAGGATGAATTTTATCTATATCAATGGAACCACTGACAGGTTGAATAACCATTCATGCATCAATGACCAGTGGCAAAAAAGGACAGAAGGGCACAAAACAGGCAATAAAAGCACAAAATACTTTAGCTTTTGTCACATAGGCCCCAAGAAGTAAATACATAAATAACACCAATAGCACTTAGGTTGCATTCAGATTAACAGATTGAAATGAAGGGATTTAGGATAAACTTGAAGAGGATGGAGCAATTAAGTTGTATTGAGAGATTTGAGGGAAATGCTAAAAGCGAGGCATGAGAGATGCATCCTAACTAAAATACACATGCACTTCAAATCCTTAGTAGGATGGATTTCTTTTTCTTTTTTTTTTAGTCTTTCCTCAAGTTCACCAAAAATAAACAAAATTCTCCTTGTAAGGTTATTCAAAGTACATCGAAGACGATATACTTGATCAGGTCAAACATAGCTTATAATAATGCAATCATATCCTAGTTGTTAATTTCATCAAACATAGATACAGACGAAGCATCGTTCACTCTTATACTCCCACTAGTTCAAACTTAGTTAAGTGGAGAACTTGATAGAAGTAGGAGAGCCACATCATTTAAATATAGAATCCCCTTACATATATATAGATTGTTTCTTTTATTTGTTCTCTCTCTCTCTCTCTCTCTC